CATTTTGGAACTTGAATTCAGACCCCGCTTTGCCTCCTAGTGAGCAAGGAAGAACACCCTCAGCTTGAAAGGGGTGGGGTGTAGCTCAGTGATAGAGTGCATGCTTAGCATGCATGAGGTCCTGGGTTCAATCCCCAGCACCTCCTCTAAGAATAAACAAACAAGCAAACCTAATTACCTCCCCCCACCAAAAAGAAAGAAAGATACTGCACATAAGCACAGTCTTAGGAAATTCCACAACATGCGATGTTAGGGCACAGAGACAGGGCAGTAGGGCCCTCCCCTCGGTGGGGCAGGAAAAGCTTACCTGTTGTGCCTTCATTCTTCTTCAGGTGGTACTGTCAGCAGCCTAGCGTGCAGGAGCCTGGAAGGAACTGGCCCCAACAATTTTTTTTTCTATATGTGGTCTGACTTATTGGAAGGATTCTTTTTCCCTAGGGCATTTGATCACTGTCAGTGCTGGCACCAAGAGATCACAGTGCAGCACTTACTGAATTAGTCTAGCCTCCCATGTCCCTTTATGGGTCACTAAACTCGATACAAGTCAATGACATGGGGTGTCCACCTTAAGGGAGAAGTAACCAGATTCCACTTTGGGATTGTAAGTAGAAGGTGATGTTGGATGTCAGGTGCGACCAAACTGTTAACCTGAATATGAGTTCAGTGTGAGGCAAGAGACTGGATGAGGGAGCTGTTGTTGGAAAGGACTGGTTACCCCGTGGCCTTGGAGATCTACCAGAAGACTTGGTAGAAGGGGCTGCGTAAGACTCAGTAGGAGGAAGGGGTGGTACAGAAGCTGCTGTCCAAGGTGCCACTTGGAAATTCAGCCTTACTTGGCAGAGGTTGCAAGAATAGGGCTGTTAACAGCCAGACAAGCTAGGATCTACTGATTCCGAGGAGGGACAGCTGGATAAAGTTGTTATGAGTTAGGAACTGAAACAATAAAAATATTATGCACAAGGGTAGGTCAGTATTGGGAGGTCATGGGGTACATGCTTTGTTCTTTTTTACATTGTGGTGAAATACGTATAACATAAACCTTACCATGTTAACCAAGCTGTAATTCAGTGGTATTCAGAGTGCTGCACAGCCATCACTACTGTCTCGTTCCAGAACTTTTTCTTCACCCCAAATGGAAACCCTGTAGCCATTAAGCAGTCAGTCCCCATTCCTCCCTCCCCTCAACCTGGCAACTTCTAATCTGCTTCCTGTCTTTATGTACTGTGCGTGGATCTTATGTCAGACAGATCTGGGTTCATCCTGGCCCTGCCATCTACTAACAGTCTACCTTTGCTCACCTAACTTTGCTTCTCTGAGCCTCGGTTTTCCACAGCTTTAGGATGAGAACAAAATGCTTAACTTGCAGTACTTTTGTGAGAATTGATTGTATGTTTAATGTTTAGCTGAATGCCTGATTCATTCTTGAATGGCCAAGCAATAAGTGGTAGTTATCGTTTGCTTTATAAAAGCAGTAACAGTGGGGTTCCTTTAAATTATATACGACTGCTTTTTCACCAAAAATTTGAGTAACACAACTTAATCATCTATTCTTACAGATGCTGAAGTAGGGAACTTGACTGTTGCCTTCCAAGCTAGTTGAAGAGCTCAGAGACAACTATATATTCAAGGATTGAATATATGTTACCAGCTTTAAAATGCTACTGGTATTTAGAGGAGAAAACTCATTAATGGTGGTTAGATGCTTAATGAATATTTGAATTAGAGAATGATTGAATGAGCAGTGGAGAAGTTAAATAATATAGCAAGTCTGTGGAAGAAGGAGAAGTTGAGTTGGGTCAATTTAATAAGTACCACTGCCTGTCTTTCGTCTATAAAATGCAACCTGGTCATTAGAATGCAGAGCAACCCATAAGTGGATAAAAGAACTGGATTTTGGTGATTGCTTTTAGATGGCCAGTCCAAAACTTTTGGAAAATAGATATACTTCCATAAGGATGTTTAAAAAGAGGTAGATTGGGGCTGAGTACAAGGAGACATTTTAACTATTAATGTTGGAAGGGAGGTGACAATCCTGCGTGTGTCAAGTGGAGGCCATTCAAGTTCTTTGAGATATTGAGAAAGCTTATTGATCAGTTTGAGCCAAAGGGGACTTTAAATCTTTCCACTTTGAAAAAAAAAATCCCCATTTCTCTGTTCTTATCTGTGAATTTAATGGATTTTTAGTTGATGAATTGATAAGAGTTATTCTTAATTTCTCTCTTTCCACATGTTCTTCCCCTCATCACTTTCTATCCCTTTAACCTGTTTTTCTTCATAGCACTTGTCACTATCAGATATGTATTTATTGTTTATTTTCTGGCCCCTCAGTAGAATGTATGCTCCTTTCAAGCAGCTAATTTGTTTCCCATTGTATCCACAGCTCCACAGATGTGTCTAGTACACAATTGGCACACAGTACACATATGTTGAACCTTTATATAAAAATGAATAACATATATATATAAATAGCTGCAGTTTTTTCTATTCCTTGTAAGAAAATACAGAAAAGTATAAGAAGAGAATTGAAAAATTGGAGGAGTTGATCAACAAGAAGATGTAACTCTGAGAGATGTGCTTGATTTGAATTTGTGTTAAAGTTTGAGATGCTTTGGCCTGACTAAGGCAGTATAATGGAGATTTAACTCCGTTTGTTTTGTTTTTTACACAAAAGATGCTGGTAAGGAAGGATGGCTCCACAGGGATTACCTCCAGGAATACACAATCCAGAGCCTAACAATGGGCCCTTGCTAAGTTATCTGAGAGAATCTCTTTTCTGCCTCCTGTAATTGGTGATACCATAATTAGGCCTGCGCATTACTTCTGAACCCTGCCATACGTGCACCTCATTTAGCTGGGCTTACGGAGATTACATCATGCACAGGAAGCTGGCTTCTTGGTTATCAGGCTCCACAGAGGAGCTGGGAGGCTTAAGGAGCGTGAAAAATTAGGGTTGATTTAAAGGGGCAGGGTTCCCTGGAAAAGCACAGAGGTTTTTCCAGCTTGTGCCTCCATGACCTTTAATTTCCTATCAACAGCACTGATACCTGCCTCAATACTCTTTCTGTAAATTAGGGCCTCTTTCAGTTTCCTTTTCCTCATCCTTTAAAATAGGACTGCTGATACAGACTGTGAGATTGTTATAATTTTAACGAGCTAACTCTTGAAAGACTCTAACATAGTGCTTGGAAGATAAAAATCCTAGCACAGTTCCTGGAATATGTACTAAGAGTATAATTATTGTCAGTTCCTCTTCTTTCTTCTTTTATCATGATCACTGTCTACACTGTCAGGTTTTAATTAATTCATTATGACAGAATTACATTTTAAAATCCTATTGTGTTTGGAGTTTTGAATAGCATTTTGGTACTTGGTGAGATACTTTAAATTATCCACCTCACCTAATGATGATGATGGTGATGATTAATAATAATAATAATAATAATAATAATATTGGTTTACTTGTTTTATTCTTCCTGTTATAGAACACAAGCAATAGAGAGAATGTTCATTCATTTTTATTTTGACTGCAGTGCCTAGAGCAGTACTTTGATTCCAGTAGGTATTCCCAAAAGTTTGTTGTATCCTTTTTGAAAGGTACAACTAAAAATATTTAACATAATTATTGTTAATAAAAACCAGCATCTTCACACACTTAACTTTGTTAAAGCCTATGCCGATCTAAGTGCACAGCGTAATTTCTTTGAACCTTTACTGAACTGGAGCGAATAGGACATGCCTGTGTGGCAGCTACATCTTAAGAATGACAGATCTAGAGCAAGCTATGTTTTGTTTTGCTTCATTTTCTTTCAAATCTAGTTTTAAGCTTTTCTATTTAGTGGTAATTGTTTGTTAGTCCCTAACAGCAGGGCCTTCAGCAATAAGATAATTATTGTATAGATGAATAATAGATGGGGAGACTTGGAGGTACTCAGAAGGAGGAAAGGAAGGGGTCAGAAAGCGGTTCAGCTGGCAGTTCAGCTGGCAGTTCAGGCTGCACACACCAAAGGGCGCTGTTCCCTGTCAGTCTCCCTGTGTTTCAGCCTGTCTGCCCATCTCAGATGGTTTCCTTAGCCTTAGAGCTAAAATTGTTCCCCCTAGGACTGGAGTGTTGCCTAAGATAAGACTGCAAGCCCTGCTAATAAGTATGTGGCACTTAATTCCCACTCCTCTGGCCTTGCGCTCATGGTACCACCATGTCCTTTTCTCTAGGTGCACGTTTTGGTGGATTCCCTGCTTCCTGTCCTGGGAGTGCTCTTCTCTCTCTACTGTTTTACCAAGCAGGGTGTGTCTCACATAAGGGAAACAATCTAGAGAACCTTATTATTTGTGCATAGTGAAGTCATTCTTGCATGTTGTTCTTGTTCTTATTTTGAACGTGACTTATGCCACTTTGTAATTTCTTTTTCTTTCAAAGTCAGGAAAACATTTGACAGTCCTTTATTCCACTCATCTAGAAAAAAGAGAGCTCTGCCGATTGCAGGGGATTGGATCTAGTTTATAGAATGACTTTCCTCGGCCTCTGTCTTGTACATCAGAGGTGAAATCTCAGTTCGCATGTATAAACATGCCCCTGTTTGATCAGTCACGAATACTGGAATTACATGTCTAGGAAGGAGGAAGTAGAGATTGGATGATAACTACCTTGTGAGGAGTTAGAGGGTGAGTTGGGGGAGTCTGGATCTGAAAGTGGCACTCTGTAATGTAGGCTTGCATTTGGTGTTAGTGCTGTACAGTGTTGTTTAGACTGAAGGCATTTCTTAGTCATTCAGAAAATAATCTTTCGTATCGGAATTTAAGGAGGATTCGTTTTGTATCGGCTCTATTTTCAGAGCGATTTATGTTGTTTCTTCCTCCTTGTAAGACTTTATGTCCTTTCAAAAGTCCTATAGAATTCTGATTTTGGGTATTTGGAAGTCCCCCATGTGTAATCTCATAACCAATGATAGTATCTTCTTCCGTGGGATTGTTATGAAGACTTAACTGCACATTAAAGTGTTTAGCATTGTCTCTGGCAGATAGTAAGCTCAATAAACGGCCACTATCATCATCATCAAGTGGTGAAGGGAAGTACTCAGCCTTGCGTATTATTCGAAGCTTGCTTGTTGCCTTTGACTCTCTAACTTTTGGCAGCCCATCACTGAAGCCCACAGCTCTGAGGGAAGTGACAAGAGAAAGTGCAGTGGAAATGGAGGCTATAAATATGTGACTTTTGAAGACCATTCATATAATAACTCTTATTTTAGTTTTGAAATCCCTTCCTCATTAGAGACTGAGACGGAAGACATTCATGTTTACTCCATTCCTCTCCTGGCTGATTGGCACAGATAAGTGGGGATAAGGAGCCAGCAAGAGTTTGTTGGTCTGCTGTTTCTTGGTCACCAGTTCTTGGTACCATTGAACGTAGGTGATTTTATCAGTGTAAACTTTCACAGTGCCTGATCCAAAGGCAGTCAGTACACTTGAATTAAAAAATCATGTGAGGCTCACGTGTCATATCAGGGCTGCGTCTAGAGCCAAGGATTCGTTAGTCACTCGTTGAATTTTAGGGTATTTGCATTCTGAAATCCACTAGAAGCATCGTTTCCACTCCTGTGCTTCAGTAGTGCTAGGTGAATTGTGCCAGCGTTTGGAATGCATGGAACCTGACAGTCATTCTTTCTTTTTTTATGTCACCTTGTTAGACGTGTAGAGTAAGATGACAAGCTCATTTATAACTGCTTTTTTCTGCCAGGTCACTTTGCCAAGAGATCTTACTATGGATTCTGGGGAAACGGGAGAGGAAGAAGGCAATCGCTAGCCTGAAAGGAATTGCAGGCTTGGACAGATCTGTGCCCTCTCTCCAGTCCTTGTGTCGCTTTGGAGTGACCAGTCAAGGTGGCATTATGTCACCATCAGAGAGGCATTTGGTGAGTCCACCCAACCTTTGCTCTCTCTTCAGATTTAATTGTACCCAGAAGGCCATCTGTGACTCGCCCACTAAGGGGCGCTGATAGAAAGGAAACTAGAAACTCAGGCGGCTGAGGTGCTGCCACTTACAATCTCTAAATGAAGCGGGCGCCTGAAATGGTCCTCCAGGTTTTTCCTAGATGCTGGCTAATAGGTGCAATTTGCTGGAGGCTCGCAGCTGTGCATCACAACAGGCTCACTCACTTCACAAAGCCTTCACCTGTGAATCAGAGGAAAAGGCAGACACATGTTCACCCTCAGAGCCAGAACAATCCAGTTCTCTTTCTGACTCTCAGAATGGTCTGTGTGTGTTCAGAGCCAGGCTTCCTCCTGAGGGAAGTTGTCTGGGAGCTCCCTTTATGGTAATTTTAGGGTGAGGGCTTGTTTCTCCTAGGGATTGATTAGAAGGTGCTTAACAAATGGATAATTTTTTTCCCCAACATTTCACAAGTGTATTTTAAATTATTCCCACTTTCTGGGTGATATGTGAAGATGTTATTACCTCGGAACATAAGTTCTTATTGATCCGAGTCCGCATAGTATTTAACTGGTGGCAGCTGCTCTACTCAGATTTCATGTCACATTCAAAGCTGCTGTTTATTCAAATATTTAATTTTTAATTCACGTTTAACTTGGTTAAGTTTTAAAACACTTATTCAGTATGATGGACTTGAGGAAAATAGAACAAATTCATTGATTGCAAACAGAATCATCAGTACAAACTCAAGCTACTAATTTACTGAGAGTTGTTGAGCATTCCTAGGTTTTGTGGTTATAACCATGCTCCTGAACTGAAAGATTTTAACATTTTTTGGCATATTTATTTTAAAAACACTTTCAGTTTAACCTGGGACCAATTTAGTGACAAAAATAGAGAATTTTATAGTATTTGACTTATCAGCGGTTAAAACTTATTGCTGTCTTAAGTTTTTAGTGTACTTCTTAGTGCACATACGTCAAAACCAACAGTTCTTATTGAAACTATTGTTTGTCTTCTTGGTAGGAGAAAAAGTGAATAGGCAGTGTTTGAATGACTCTCCATCCACTACAAGAAGCAACAAATTCTTAACCTGGGGTCTCTACATAGACTTCTTGGAATCTCTAATCCCCTTGAAGTTATCCATAAGAAATTTTTATATGCAAACACGAATTTTTGTTGCTAAAAATAGGGTCCATAGCTTTCATAAGATATTGAAAACACTCCATGTCTCCAAAAAGTTGATACTCACTGTACCAGAGAAATACAATGATTTTATGTTTTGTTCTAAGGATCCTGCTCACAGTGCTGGTTCCCCAAGGGCAGGGTCCATGTCACCACCTGGTCTCTATCATCACTTACCTTTCCCTGTACCATTCTGCCCTTCAGCACCAGTTGTTAATAAAAAGTTTGGTTAAAGAAACTCTAAAAGAACAGCTTAGATTTCAGGATCATGAATTTTTACTTTTCTGGAACTAAATATACCTATTTGGAACGGACTCTTTCATTGAAATTTTAAGAATGAATAAACTAGTGCTTCTTAAGGTAATTGTCATGTATCTTTTAAATGACTGTTTGAATATAGCACTTCACTTTGACAGCCAGGATGGTTCACAGAAGCTTACAAGCTATTTTCCTTTTCTTCTAACACAAAGTGTGGTGGAGGTAACATGACTGATCTGAAGGACTCTGGGAAACTCTGGGATAAAATAGGAAGTAATCCTAAACTTAACCTGTAGGTTATTCATACTACTAGAGGAGTAGAAGGGCTATGTTATTATTGAACTGGTAAACTGGGACAGACTACCCAGGGAGATGGTCTGCCAAATTACCTTTAATAATTGTACTTTTCAGTGAGATGATGCAAATCTGTCATTTTTTCCCTCAATTCAATATGAAAGAGATTTTCTTTCTTTCTTTTTTAATCACAGAAGTAATACATGTTCTTTGTATAATACAAAAAAGCATTAAGAGGAAAACAGAAATCAACCACTGTCCTAGTCACTGTTTACCTTATTTTAGTATTTTGTTTTCTAGTACATCTTCTGTACCTGCTTATTTATTTACATGCTATAGTATAATAATATTGTATCTTGGCCTTTTCACTTATCTGATGAATGAAAACTAAAAGCCTTAGTACCTCATAAGGAGCTTCTTGAGACTTTTTTGCAGAAATCATAGCACTGTTTTCGATATCTTAGCCACATTTTATTACTTGGAAATTTGGTCTGCACAGTTTCCTGAACCTTTATGCATTTTTCACTGCTCAGCTAACTGGTTCTTATTAGTTGAGACTGACTGAATCTCCTCCTGTGAAGATCATGTATTTTTCCATTGCCCGTAACCCTTCAGTGGCTCACTGGAAAAAGCCCACGTTCCTTTGAATGACATCCAAGGCCCCCTGTGATCCTTCTCTTCTCTTCCTCAAGAATTGGAATATCTACATACAACTTATACCTTAATTCCTCCTTGCTTTTGCAACTTATTGAAATAATAGTAATTCTTCAACATTCATCTTAAAATGAATCTTTTCCTCATTTGAGCAAACGACTGTGTAGAACATGATACCCTAGCTTCTGAGATTACTTTTTCAGCATCGAGAAACAGGAGAATAAGCACATTTTTGAGCTTTTTCTAATTATGTACTGTATGGAAATAACATGTTACTTTAGAAGATTATTAATGGGGCTTCCAAAAAATAGTATCTCTGGATGATAAATCTTACCAAGATAAATATTAACCCCCACAATGCAGTGATGAAGATGAAGGTGAAGCCCTGTACCAGAAGGTGTCCTCAGAGCAGTGCCAGGTAGAGCACCTCGGGGACTTGCTGTCCCACTGCCCAGAGTGTGGTTTGGCAGGCGATTTCATCTTTTACTTGAAGGTAAGCACTACATATAATGCGTGGTCAGCTTTATTCTAGGGTAGCTCCAGGAGCCCTCTGAATTTACAAAGAAGTCATAATTTTAGGTTCTAAAATTAGGTCTTCATTCCACAGATATAGAGGACATAAGGGTAATTTGTTTTTTAGTAGTCTTTGGTTTGGTAAAAAGAATAAATTTACCTTCAGCAGTACACACATGTTCGAACTACTTTCCAAGGTAATCTGCACTGAAATTTTAGAGATGACCAAAGCAGAACTCTTGATCTGTTAAAGGGTTCATCTTTGCCCTGTGTTGACAGTAAGAGCCCTTTTGAAGTTAATCGCAGGTTTACAGCTATGGAGTAATCCCTTATTCTCTCTGACTGTCGCTTTCTCAGGTATCTGCAGGGGAAATTTAGCAGTTCTGCCTCTCTCACTTCGTTTGTAGCCACTTGAAACCTTTCCTGGGTTTGTTTCTTTCTTCGAAACGGTGGTTGTGCTTCCTTTTGCCCTGATTCTCCTACAATAACTCACACCCCACACTGTTGCTCCTTATTTCCACTGTTAGAGACCATAGGCCAGGTATCTTGGATTCCCTGTCCTCCGTCTCTGCCTTCTTTAATATTTTCCCTAAATAGAGTGCCTACTCTAAGAGAGTCTCTGTGGAGTTTAAGGTTGGGGTTGGCGTGGGAGGGTGTGAGAAGGGAGTCAGAGCTAATATCCCGAGAATCCAAGTAGGGGAGACTTTTTTGATGTTTCTCATCACCCACATTCGAATTCATCCCCCTGCCCAGATTGGTTTTTTTTTTTAAGTTATAGTCAGTTTACAATGTTGTATCAACTGCTGGTATACAGCGTAATTTTTCAGTCATACGTGAATATATGTATATTCATTTTCCTATTCTCTTTCACCATGAGCTACTACAAGATCTTGACTATATTCCCCTGTGCTATACAGTATAAACTTGTTTCAGACTGGTTCTTTATATACACATTTCAAACAGTTTTCTAGCTGTTTTTAAAGTCCGTAATTCGACAGGATTTTTCTTCACTTTTCCTATTCTCCCACATTGATAGGAGTTGAGTCTCGTGGCTGTGGAAGATGAAGCAAAGTTAAAAACCAAGCCCTTCTCCAGCAGAAGCCTCTTGGAGGTAGAGCAGCACCAGGCTCCCCTAGTGGAAGGCCAGGAGCGGAAGCTGCTGGTCCTCCAGCTGATGGCTGTTCTGAGGGAGAGAATGAGCAGATATTCACAAACATCACTCAGGTCAGTGGCCGGCGCATTCCAGATCCCAGGCTGGTGGTGTTTGTCTGTTTTGGTTTCTGTCGTTCTTTCCAAAAAATGTTCAGAAGAATGTTACTCAGGGCGTGGTTTGATGACACCTGCATCCGTGTTACCTGGGATGCTGGTTAAACCTGTAAATTTCCGAGCCCACATCAGATTACGAGAATCAGGACTTTCATGGGTCCTGCGAGTTGGCATATTTAACAAGCTCCTGAGGTGATTCTCATGCACATAAAACTGGTAAGTGTTTTAAATATTTATATATCACAGTAGTTTTCAACTTTTGGTGCAAATAATATTGTCTGGGATCCTTTTCACAGTATTGATGCCCAGCCCACTTTTAGAGATTCTGATTCAGCATGTCTGCATTAGAGCCTCAGCACATGTATTTTTTTAAACCCTGTGGATGATTCTAATGTGCATTAGAAATTGAGAATGATTAAAACTCAAATTTGAAAAAAAAATCGATGATGATAGAATCACCTTGAATTTACAGGTTCTCTAGCTCACAGCTTATTCCATAGCAGCCTGTGGAGCTTTTAAGATTTTTTGAAAAATTCTTTCAGAGTAGAATAACTATGTGAACCAGTGCCTGCTTAATGGCTCAGACATTATTTTTTACCAGCTTTTTTTAAAAATAGGAAATAAAAGTTATGAAGTATAGGCACTATATTTTACCACTTGACTACAGTTAGCTGTTGCCTGGTTGGTGACTGGTCAGTTGTAAGATGATATGATTGTCACACTTAAACCCGATTCTCCAGCTCTTTGTACCGTCGTCATTGTCACCTGCCTTCCAGTGTTGCTAAGCAGCGTTTCACTACAGCTCCCGCTGAGAAAATCTGCAGCTGCCTGTCAGCTCTGACTTATCATGCCTACTTAATGAGCATTATGTTCATGATTTCTTTCCTGGCCTCTTATTCCTTCAGTTCACTGACCCCTTATTTACTCAGTAGAGTAATTTGTTTCTCCCATGTTTGTATCAGTTCCCTAAAGACTTTTTCACCCAGACTTTATGTTTTTGTCTCAGGATGCTAGCTGGAAAGGCAAATGATCTAAAAACTGATATGACTTAAGCTTTCCCACTTACCTCCTTTTACTCCTAATTAAGGAATAATGGTGCTAGGGTGATACAAAAGTGATAATGTCCCAAGAAATTATCCTTCAGCTGAGGTTAAAATGTATCAGGACAAAAAGCACCCCCCAAAAAAAATTAAATTGCATTTAGTAGTCTCACTGCTAGTGATAATTTTGGGATGTTATTTTGAAATATTCACGCATGTAAGTAAGCAGTAAGCAAGAAGTTAATTTTGTTAATATCATTAAGATTTTTAGCATAAGAAAAAGAGTTATAAGTATAAAATTAAGGAACTTGAGTAAAACCCCCATAATATTACATTTTAATTGGAGGTGTTTGTATGAACTCATGGTTTTTTTCTTTTTAAAAAAATAAGACATTTCCTAGCTCAACCCACTGTCAATGTCAAGAAGCAGTGACAACCCAGTGGCAATTAGCATCCCCAGTACCAGATTATAGTTTCTAAATAGCATTTCCTACTGAAAGAACACAAAGCTCATTGGATTAAAGGTTCATTTGGTTCTAGGGCAGGAGAACTGTACAACTTAGGCCTCAGGACATCTTGTTGCGCTTGAATACAAGGAAGCTATCTGAGGTGAACAGGTCATGTCAGCATTCAGGAGCCAACTTGGGGGTGGTTCCTATTGATCATAAGTGGGACAATTTGAGTATTAAAAAGAATAATGCCTGCAGTGGATTGAAACACATTAAGAAACACATTAAGTTCCAAAAATCTCTGGTGGGACATCTTTGGAGGTTGCTAGGACATCAACTGACTATTTGGTAAATTGATAAATGAAGAAAAAGAGTAAAATGTTTATCTTGTCTTTCCTGTAGGAACTATTTTCAGTGTAACTAAATAGTCAACGAAGGAAATTTTTCCTTTATGTAAGAACCACAACTGAAAAATTCAAAAAGAGAACTAGAAAATTATATTTTGCAATCCTCTAATGAAATAATGGATCTCGGTAACAATCATCAATGTCTGCTCTAACCATTAGGGGTACTTTATAATGAATGTATTAGGGCAAATGCACCCAAACCAGCTGATCCTTTCTTCCCCTAGCAATTTATTATGAAAACTTTCAAATTTGAAAGAATTTCTTAGTGAGTACCTGCATACCCACTACCTAGATTCTACCATTAACATTTTATTATACCTGCTTTATCACATATTAATCTATGTTTCCATCTGTCTATCCATTTTATTTTGGGTGCATTTCAGGGTTAATGCAAATATCAGTATATGTCCCCCAAATATTTCAGCCTGGACTGATTAATCTTAACATCACCACAAGAAGACAAGCAGACATCATTATGGCCTCCTCATGCAATGCAGTAGGAAGTATGCAGCACCGTCTAGGAAGGGTCCTTACCCCCAAACCTCCCCCAAAATACAAAACAAACCAACCCCCCAAGATATGAACCTGAATCCAATCAAGAAAATGGGATTGAGAAGCAAGCTAAATGCCATGAGGAAACAATTAGTCAAATCCATAATGTGGGAAATTCTACAGTACAAATGACCCAGTTTCTTTGTCAAATAAATGGTGTTAAAAAGGAGTAAAGCTGTTGTAGCTTAAAAGGGACTTGAGTGATATCAATGAAACATAATATGTGCATCTTGATTCAAACAAACCAATTGTATGTAGACATTTTTTGCAACAATTATGGACCAAGTATTAGAAGATATAAGGGTTTGGTTTTTTTTTACCTATATACTTTATTTATTTCTTTATTTTTATTTTTTTGATTGAAGTATAGGAATTTTTACTGAGTGTAATCATAGTGTAGTAGTTATGTAAAAAACAAATCTCCTTATTTGTTAGAAGTGCATATTGAAGTTTTCATGGATGAAAGATTAAAAATCCAATAAAGTGTGTTGGCAGATGGCATGTTAGTATGTGAGATGAGCCCTGTTCCAACTCCCAAGTTCTTTCATCCCACAAATATGTATTGAGAGCCTACTGTGTGCCACGTACTCTTCCAGGTATCAGAGACACAGCTGTGAGCAGAACAGACACACATCTGTGCTCTCATGGAGCTTACAGTCACATAAGGGGAGAGACAGTAAGCAAGTCAGCAAAATCACACAATGTGTTTGTTAGACGATGGTAAGTACCAGAGAGAAAAAATCAACCAAGGAAAGGGGATGGTAAAGGAGTTTGTAAACAGGGTGGTCATGGAGAACCTTGCTGAGAAAGTGACTTTTGAGCAAAGATCTAAAGCAGGAAAGGAGGGAGCTATTGAGATACCCAGGAGAAAAGTGTTTCAGACAAGAGGGAGCCTGCCTGGAATGTGAAGGAGTCAGCAAGGGGGCCTGTGTATATGGAGAGGAATGAGCAAGGTTCCCTTTTATCCGCCCTTTGAGGGACTGCCACCCTCTGCACCCTTCTGTACCTGGATCATGTAATCGGCAGAATAGAAGGGGTTCTACATGCTTGTGTTTTTTTTCATATGTTAAACTTTTTTAACATAAGTAACATATGTTCATTGTGAAAACATTTAAATAAAAGAGGTGCAAATTTTTTAAGTAGGGATTTATGGTTAAAGACGGTGTATTGAACAAAAATATTTATCTGGAAACCAGAGACCCACAGAGCAGGAGAGGAAAGACAGTAGATAAAAGAGAATAACAATGCATGGAAACTGTAAAATAGTAGCTGATTCAGCAACTTGAGAAAATGGAAAGCTAAGTGCCTGCACAGGAGAATTCACGAAGCAAGCACTATGCCTCAATAAAGCTGTTAAAAACTTTTTTGCAAAGGAAAAACAGAAGCAAGCCACTTCTCCCTGTAGAACCCTATAAGGGTGGGAGGCATCAGATAAGCTCCAAAAATGGAGCTGAATTTAGAGATTAAATCAGGTTGAAAGGCTCCACAAGATTCAGTAGACCCTTTGATTCCTTCCTCGTCTTCATACAACCACCTCCCCGCTCCAGCCAAAGACTCAAGGTTTATTCTTGAGAGAGGTTGAACCCAGACTCTGAACTTGGGTGGTGGTAGCACACGGCAAAGCTGGAGAATTAAGCTGATGTCTGCAGACTCAGCAGGGAGGCCTCAGCCCCCTTGCACTCATTTGCCAGAATGTTGACAGCAGGTTTATACATCCCCATAGGATTATTATGAGGATTAAGTGAGTTAATACCTGTAGAATGTTCAGAACAGTACCTGGTAAATAGCAAATGCTTAATGTTATCACTAAACTAAACAGCTAAATAATTAAAACCAGTTGCCTCTGTAGAGTCAGAATCAGATGGAGAGAAACGGGGTAGGGCACTGCCATTTTTCATTATAAACTTTCAGGAATATTTGGCTTTTAGAATTACGTATCTTTACAAAAATTTTCAAGTAAAAAGTGAAAGTCTCCAAATGTTAACCACTATCTATAAATAGATTAAAAAATTTCTTCTGTATAGCACAGTGAACTGTATTCAATATCTTGTAATAACCTTTCATGAAAAAGAATATGATAATGAATATATGTGTGTGTGTGTGTGTGTGTGTGGTATGACTGGGGCATTATGGGAAATTGGCACATTGTAACTGACTATGCTTCAGTTAAAATAAAAAGTCTCTCTCCTTCTCTCCTCAATATGCAAAAATTCTAGAACAGGCATCAGTCACATACCTATCCTTGTGGCTGGCAGCCCCATAAAAAATCACAGGAAATGAGTAGTAGGGGAGGAGCTGTTGTCCCCATGGTGGTTTAGTTGTTACATGCAAAATTTGAGGGAAAGGGTACACTTCATAAATGACAGTAACAACTGGCTATCACACCACAGTTAACAGCTCCCAGGGTTTTTTCTTTAACATACATAAAACTGAAGATTTCTTCTTTTTTTAAATTTAAGTGTAGGTGATTTACTGTATTTCAGATGTACAGCAAAGTGGTATATATATATATATTATTTTTTCAGATTCTTTTCCATTATAGATTATTACAAGATATTGAATGTAGTTCCTTGTACTATACAGTAGATCCTTGTTATTTGTCTATTTTATATATAGTAATGTGTATCTGTTAATCCCAAATCCCTAAATTATCTTTCCCTTGCCTTTCCCCTATGGTAACCATAAGTTTGTTTTCTATGTCAGTGAGTCTATTTCTGGTTTTTGTTTTCTTTTGTTTTTTTAGATTTTTTTTTTTTGGCAAAAGGGAGGGAGTTGATAAGGTTTATTTATTTGAAGGAGATTACTGGGGGTTGAACCTAGGACCATGTGCAGGCTAGTCATGCACTCTACCGCTTGAGCTATACCCTCCCCCTGTTTCTGTGTTGAAGTAAGTTCATTTGCATCATCTCTTGAAAGTTCATAGTACTAGAATCATACTACTTGTTTTGCAGTGTAAAAAAAATTATATATATTATATATATATAATATATTAGATCGTAGAGAGGAATTTAGAAAAAATTGGAAAGCTGGATAGTTCCAGCAATTTAACGGTATATTTGTGCTGAAATAGAAGCTTCCTATAATCAAGGAGTGTTTGAGAAAACTCTTGGGAGGTAAAATAGGTGGCCCAAGATGGTAGATGAACTGGTTTCTCTGGGAAGAGCCAGGGTCCTTAACTGATAATGTCAATAAAGTCTTAATCTAGAGAGGGTGGTGAATATTGCTGTTACCAGCATTGTTCATTACAGTAAGTGGAACTTTTAATAACCTTTCTAATTTCCTGCCTTGCTCCAAAAGACAAGTGTTAACAAGCCATTCTCCTGACTTTAACCTGCAATAAAGATTCTAGCATAGCACATGATTTGCCCAGAGAGTTAAACATGCAAGCTTGCATGGTATTTAGAGGCTTATTATGACCTACCTCAACCATCCAATTTTCAAAATGATTTTTCCCTTTTGAGCCATTAGTCCTAAATACGCATGTAAGTGTATGCACAGGGACTTGTGCACATGTTCATGTATGGGTATGTGTGTGCTGTCTTTTATTCAAATGTGTTTCTACTTAAGATGATTAATTCAAGCATAGTTAAAATGATGCTGACCAAATTAATTCCATTTAAGGCTTAGTTGTTAGCCAAATGCTAAGTAAAATCTTATATATAATAATTTAATATTTTAAAACTATTCAATATTTTAAAAAGTGACTCTGGATCGTTTGTGGAGATTGTTTGAGGACACTGAATTCTAAATAAAATTAATGCCTCTTCCCCCATTCTTTGCTTCCTAGAACTTAGCCTGTCAGAACAGGGGAAGGGAATCCTTAAGGAGGAAACCTCATTAGGTGAAGCAGATATAGGATACTCTGAAATGGTCAGAAAGTAACAAATCATTTTTCATTTTAGTTTCCTGGTAAGAATCATGAAAAGTAAAGGAAGATGGGTTGGTATATTAAAATATTTGGGGAAGTGTGAAAGGGCTTTCTCATTTATTGACTGTATGACCTTGAGCAGATTGCCTCTCTAAGTCTCAGATTCTTCATCTGAAAATGAGGCCAAAAGTACTGATGTCCTAGAGTTGATATGAGACCTGAGTGAGCTTATGCATGTAAAACCCTGAGCACTGTGCCTGCTATGTGGTAGCATTTGCTGTGGAAGCTTCTTGCTGTCATTATGTTGTTGAAGGAGATGAGGATGTAGACATTATATATGAAGAGAATTTTGAGGGCTTTTTTTCCTACTCTTCACTAATTCTAAATTCCATTTCTGAGGTAGGTTGTGGATGTTGTACCAGCAACCCTGCAGCGAGCATGTGCAAGCCTGGCCCATCAGGCAGAGAGCACCATAGAATCACAAACACTGAGCATGTCCGTGGGACTGGCGGCCATCATGCTGGGAGGAGCCGTGCAGGTGAGCTGCAGACATGAACCAAACTTGAAAGGAGGGAGAAGAGAAGAGAAAAACCTACCGCTTCCCTTCCATATCCTTGTGAGAAATAAGGATGGATATTGCATATAGGAGAACCAGAGTAAACAAGTGAGGTTGTTAATTAGAATTCTCCCCGAAGTAGAGGACAAGAAAACTGTACCACTTCCACCTTGTCACATGCATAGACAGAGGCAGCCAGAGCCCTTTCTGACCTGGCATGAGCTTGATTTGGAAATACCTGGCACACTGTTTTGCATCCATGGTGAATACTAGATTCTTTGGCCCTCACTGTGGTTGCTCCCCATAGCTCAGCCCTGTCCGTCCTGCAGTGGTCAGGGGAGAACCCTCGTAACCTGCTGGCTGCTGAGGATCCCATGTTTTGAATAGTTCCACTTTAGCCCAGGATCCATTGTTCAACTCATCATGTAACATGTTAAGGCTTTGGTTCCGGTGCATATGTCTTTTACATACTTAATTTATAATTTTTTAAATTTAGTATACTTACTGCCCGCTTCCCATGTGCCAGATTCTGAACTGAAGGTGCTGGGAATACAGCAGTGGACAAAGCAGACATGGTCCCTACCCTCATGAAGCTTAGAGCCAGTGAGAGAGACAGTCACTAAGTAACTCTTCAAAAAATATATGCTTAGAATTGAATGAAGTACCTCAAGAGAGAAATGGAGGGTACAAAGGAAACTTCTAGCCTAGGCAGGGAAGGTTTCCACTGAGGAAGTAATGTAATTTTAAGCTATGACTTGAATGATGAGTAGGAGTTTGGGGGGGTGTGTGGTGTGGATGGAGGAAACTCTTCCAATTTAAGGAAACATCATGTACGAGGGCTGGGAAGCAAGAGAGAGCCTGGTATACTTAAGACACTGGTAGAAGGCCTGTGTAGCTGAACTGCAGGGACCAAGGGTCAGAGTAGTGCCAGACAAGGTGGACAGGTGGGCACGTATGTGTGTGACTGGCTAATTACGTACCACATTAGGTTGGGGGGATGGCTAGAAAGCAGACTAGGCTTGGTGCAAGTGTTATGAAATCTGATCTGAAATCAAACTGGACATAACTCTTAGCAATGAGTAGGGAAACCTTCTGGGAATGGATTTTTGAGTTTGAGGATTAAAATCTGATACTGATTCTTGATACATTAGAATTTGCCTCTCTCTAGCCAGTCCTTAAGGGGAAAAGGAATTTTATCTGGGCCTCTTTTTAATGTGAAGTCTATTTCTTTGTAGGTTTACTTAGCACTCCTAATTTTATATTTCCCTCATAGTTTGAAAAAAACACATTTTTTGGTTTAGTTTCAAGAGTCATATTATATCCCTGCTCTTAGAACGCTCAGGGAGGAATTCACCAGTTGAATAATTTTTCTTAAGTTGTACTGTTAACTAGATTTAGGTGGCCTGATTGATTTTTTTGTAAACTCTTTATTTTTACTTTTTTAAATTTATTTCTTATTTTTGGAGGGGGAGGTAATTAGGTTTATTCATTTCAGTGGAGGTACTGGGGATTGAAACAAGGACCTTGTGCATTTTAGGCAGGCACTTTACCACTGAGCTATACCCTCCTCCCTGGCCTGACTGATTTCTGTTTTGTGGGTTGAGTATTCATTGGAATAGTCTTAATTTCCATAGTTGAGAGTAGTTTTTTTTGCAGACGTCATCAGCCTCCCTGTGCCTCTCCTCCTTTCTCGTGCTCCTCAGCTGCTCTTCTTCCCTGACTCGCTCTGGTCTCTGCAGGGAGACTCTCTCCTCTGTCGGTGGGGAAGCTGTCAGGGCTGAGGGCAGGGTGGGGCTTCATCTCGGGGAGAGGAAGCTGGGAACACAGGGCTGCTCCCCTAAGACCCACTTTTCCAAGCTCCACATCATCCAGGCACCTTAGCCTGGGGCTGCCCAACGTGGACCACAGAGTGTTAGGCGGGAGTGAGGTCCCCCTGGGAGGAGGGACACCTGTGCCGAGTGGTCACCACCCTGGTGTCCAGTACCAGCTGCTGAGGGTTCCAATCATGTGATGGTATCCCTGTGTCTTGTCCTTGCACATCCCCATGCAGATCAGAGACTGAACCTACACGTTTCCCACCAGGGTCCCACCCCCCTGCAGCCACCTGTCCGCAGGCACATTTAGGAGAGACCTCAGGAGCAGCCTGGCCCAGTACAGGTCCCCTCAGCCTGACTGGGCCTCTCCTTTCAGCCGCCCTGCTTCCTGGGCACAGGCTCTCTCTGCCCCCTTCCCTGCCCTGCTTCTCTCAAGCAGAGCACATGACTTAGGGAAAGGCTGGGCAGTGCGTGGGTCCTCGGATGCAGCACACGTGCCGTGGTTATGAACAACAACATGAGAACAGGTCCTGTCCTTAAGCCCCCACGTGGCCCTGGCCTGTGCTGGGACTGTCTATGGTCTCTATCTGCAGCTCTCAGCTGCCTGCCATTTCCACACTGCAGCTGGGGAGACAGAGGCTTAGAGAGATGGAGTCATTTTGCCCAAGATTGCAGAGAAGTAGGGGAGAGAGGCTCCA